GATCTTTAAGGTCTTTTCCAACCCAAAACTTTCTGTGGTTGCGACAAACTGGTTTTCTGCGTAAAGCACTTTTGTTGCCCAAGTGAGAGAATTCCAGATGTCTGTGGACAATCCAGCGAAACTCTTTCCTTGTCTCTTCTCCCACTTTCCACAGATATGAAGCTCTCATACCATGGCAGAGAGAAAGGATAGAGGATTCCAGGTGACACCTACAACCTTGCACACAATGAGCCACCCCAGACTGGCTCAGCTGCCTCTACGTCACTCCAGGTTTCGTGGTTCAGCCCAAGAAAGGACTCCCATGCTTGAATCAGATAAAATGTTCCCCAAATTAGCCATTCAGACATGGTCAGCAGGAGTAGGCCTCGGAAAAAAAGATTGGATCTGAACGAGAGGTAAAAATACATTGCTACCTGCAGCCTCATAACAGATTCCTACGTACAAACACACCCAGCACTAATAACATCTCAGGTGCTGTCACTCCCCAAACCTCAAATTACTGTCATCAGGGGAAGTCAAAGACATTGTGGTCCCAGTATAAAACCTTCCACTGGTTCACCAGCCCACACTGTTGGTTCTGAGGGCGCAGTCACCATGAAGGCTTTGCTGATCACCCTGCTCGTGGCAGTTGTGTGTGCTGAGCAAGGTAAGGAGCTTTGCAGGCTGGGACAGCCAGGTGGAGAGGATGGAGGTGGAAACACAAGAAGAGTAATGAGAGTTAACACAGGGATATGAAGGTTTGACAGCTTTTATTGCAGTTGGTGAGGTCTTGGGAATGCAGTTTGGCTTTGGTGTCAGCAGCGTTGAGAGATGCTTAGTGTGGTTGAGTTTTAGCTTCTGGGTGAATTCTCCTGAGGGACCTGTAACCCAGAGAAGATGAGCTCATCAGTCTGGTTTCTCACACCCTCAAGTCTTCAGCTCTGCTCACATCTGCAGACAGACACCCTCTGAAAAAGGCTGATAGGAATTAAGTTGGGCTCAGAGTTTTGCCTTTGGTTTTGTTTATGTTCCTGAATGAAACTGGAGGAGTTGTTGTGGGTGATAGGGAACGTGGCTGATGTGGACACCACATCTTCCACCAGTGTTTCACTTTATTCCTCAAAACAACTTTCTAATTAAGAAATGAGCTTGCTGGCAGATATTTGAAAGCCTAAGAGCTCTTGGCTGCTGAGCTTGAAGAGCTTCTCTAAGTGTCTTTGGAGTGTGTCTGGAATGGGATCAACAATGCTCTGTGCTTGTTCTCTTTCACAAGGAGATGCAGCTAGAGAAATTTGTGGAAGTATCTACTGGTGAAATATTGGCTCTGGGCACTTATTTACAAGCCTGAGGAGCACTCCATGCCCTTTTGCACCCTTAAGGTTATTTCTGGCTGTATTTGCAAAGCAATAGCTAATGGAGGGTGGAGGTCAGAGGTAGGAAAGACTTTATAGCAGCTCTAATAGTTTAAGCTGTTATTGTTTCCTGGCTGGAAGGGATTTTCTGTGCATCAGTTGGTGAACACAGGTGCATTTCAGTTGCTTTCATGCATGTGCTGAGAACTCAGCTCTATCTGCAGCAGGAAGTGGTTGGAATAACTCTGAGGTTTGGCAGAAAAGCAGAACAGAGAGAGCTACAGGAGCTGAAAAATGCAGTAGTTCTTCCCAGGCAGTAGGTCTGGGGTTTGTCTGTAGAAAAATGGTAACCCAGACCTTGGGTTGGGAAACCTCTAGAGGAGAGGTGAGAGGCTGAAAGTATCCAAGTACTGGAGAAAGTGAGAGCTTAATAGTCATTTAAAGAGAAGTTAAAGCCAGGATGCAACAAGGCTGATTTCCCCTGCTGCTATGGAGAACACAACTGTGCTTGCAACACCTGGAACTAGAAAAAAGCATAGAATCATCAAATCACACACTAGTTTGGGTGGGAAGGGACCTAAAATCACCTAGTTCCAACCTCTGCCATAGACAGGGACACCTTCCACCAGATTAGGTTGCTCCAAGTCCCATCCAGCCTGGCCTTGAAGCATCTGGGTAGGTTTCACAGCAAGATGCTCAGTCAGGCTGAGGTACCCAAAGCACTTGAACTGCCACATCATGGGGAAGACCTTTTCTTCTCCTTCCTGAGGTAGTTAGGGCATAAAATGGCTTTTCATTCTCTTTAAAACTGCTTCTAGAGTTGTCTAATGAATCATCATGGGCAGATTCAATCCCAGAGATGAGTTTGAACCTGTGCTTGCAACACCTAGAAGAGAACATAGAATCATCAAATCACAGACAAGTTTGGGTTGGAAGGACCTAAAATCACCTAGTTCCAATCCCTGCCATGGGCAGGGACACCTTCCACTAGCTCAGGTTGCTCCAAGTCCCATCCAGCCTGGCCTTGAAGCATCTGGGTAGGTTTCACAGCAAGATGCTCAGTCAGGCTGAGGCCCCCAAAGCATTTGAGCAGCCACATCATAGGGAAGGCTGTTTCTTCTCCTTCCTGAGGTAGTTAGGGCATAAAATGGCTTTTAATTCTCTTTAAAACTCGTTCTGGAGTTGTCTAACCAATCATCATGGGCAGATTCAGCCTCAGAGGAGAGTCCAAATCACAGCAGCTGTTGTAGAGTCCCTGGGAGGAGTTTCCTTGCTAAACCCAAGTCCAAATTCCCTTGCAAGGGGCTATTCTGGGCAGAAACAAGAGCTTTGCTGTGCTGAAAAAAGCAGGAGGAACTGAACCAGGGGACATTTCAGAGGCAACTCTTCCTGGTTTGCAATTTGGTCAGCACTGGGGACTGGACCAGGATTTCCTGAGAGCAGCTGCACTGCCCCTGTCACCCCTGCACAGAGATGAGGAGCATTCCATGGAACTCTGCACAGGAGGGAGAGAGTTTCCACCAATTGTGAGTGCACTTCCAGGGAAGGAGATGGCACACGCCTGTGTTTCTCTCATAGCCAGCCTGGAAGGTTGACTTGATTCAATTCAGCAAGGTATATCCCACCTCCTTCTGCCTTTGGAATGAACCTGTCTCAGCACTGAGCTGATGACATCACTGAGAACACTTTGTCCTGGGCACTGGTAGGAGTAATCTCTCCATTGTCCAGAAGAAACTCTCCCAGGGAACTCCCTTTATTGTGGCTCTGTGTAATTTTGCTCCCAGGGCTGTTCTAGGCATTAATTTCTTCATGTGTCTGTGGTGTTCTGCAGCTCTAGGCTGAAAATACTTCAGGCAACAGGTCCAAGTGCTCCTTTCCTTGATAGGACTATGTTGGGAAAGTCCTGAGCTTTGCTTTTGCAGGTTGCATTTCAACCAGGCCAGTGTGGACCCTGGGGAGAAGGGAAGGTCACCTGAGAATGCTGCTCAGGCTGGAAAATGTGTTGTCAAGTGGAATCACCTAAGTAAAGAAAGAAAACTTGGTTTGTTCTCACTATTTGCTTTTTTCAACTTCATTAATCAAAACCAACCTCTTTTTCACTTACCCTGAAAAGCTGTTCCTAACATCCATTTCACTTTGTCTTTTCCAAGAAGGGATATGACTTTTGACACTTGTTTTTCCCAGGAAAGCATTGCTGGAAACTACTAATCTGTGTCCCATGTGCTTTTTTCCAGTTTCCTCACTGTTTTGTTACACATGTGAAAATGAACATTCCAACTGGAACTGCCTTAATACCTACAAGTGTGAAGACCATGAGAAGTTCTGTACGACCACATACAGCTCTGCTGGGTTTGGTGAGTACCAGCAACACGTCAAGGTTTATTGAGTTTGATTTTTCCTCTCCAGAGACACTGGTGAGCAATTTTTTTGGGGGGAAATAGTTGGTCTTGTTGGAAAGAATCAATTGAGGTTTAAGGATCACAACACATAACATGTGTGACTCCCTCAGTGGTGCTTTGTGATCACAGAATGGTTTTGTTTGGAAGGAATCTTTAGGATCATCTAGTTCCACACCATGCCATGGGTAGGGACACCTTCCACTAGCACAGGTTGCTCCAAGCCCCATCCAACCTGGCCTGGAACACTCCCAGGGATGGAACAGCCACAGCATCTCTGGGCAAGCTGTGCCAGTGCCTCACCATCCTCGTGTCAGAACTGGTTGGATCATGTAGATATTCATGAGCAGACCCTGTTGCTTGACCTGAGAGCTCTCACACATGCTCTGTGATGCAGAATGGAAAGAGATTGGATGTAAAAATGTGGTTTTAGAAGCTGAACATGCCTTAGCAGTGATTTCCTGCTGTCCCACAGGAGGCACAGAATTAGGTTGGAAGGGACCACAATGGGTTACCTGGTCCAACCTCTCTACCTGATCAGGTCCACCCTACAGCACATGGCTCAGGATTTCACCCAGATTGTTCTTGAATACCTCTGGTGAGGGATAATCCACAACCTCTCTGGGCAACCTGTTCCAGTGCTCAATGACTGCACAGGAAAGAAGATCTTCCTCATATTCAGGTGGAAATAGAATCATGCAGGTTGGAAAAAAACCTCCAAGATCATCAAGTCCAAACTTTGACTGATCACCACTTGGTCAACTAGACCATAGATCTAGGCATGGTGTGGGTTTCTATCAAGGACTTTTTAATGTCATTTGATCCAGAGTGTGTGGATACTGACCCAGAACTCCTCAAATCCCCTGATAGCTGTTCCTGCTGCATTGCTATTTAGCCAAGTGCTCTCTACCTCCTCCCATCACTCTCTGGAAAGCTCTTCCAGAAGAATCCTAAGTCACAGCTCTCCTTTCTTGTCTGTCCTCCATGCAGGCAAGGACGTGGCACATCGTATCACCAAGAAATGCTCTGTGGACTGTCCTGAGACAAACGTGAACTTCGGGGTGGCAGGTTATTCCACCAAGTGCTGTAGCACCTCCCTCTGCAACTTCAGTGGTGCCAACAGCATCAAAATCAGCTATGCCGTGATGCTCCTGGGAATTGCAGCCAGTTTGGTCTGTGTCATCAGGGCAGGATTGTGAACAGGGGTGGGAGAAGGTGTGACAAGCCAAGAACCTACAAGGTATTCCCCAACTGAGAAACCAATATCCTCTGGCAAGTGTTTCCAACAGGGTCTATGCTGTTTTCTCCAAGACTTTGCTTCAGATCCTATTCATCATATGACATGGCAGTGTAGCTCCTGGTTTTCCCTCTGTTGTTTTATACTAATTTTCCCTGGGAAAGCTCTTTTGATAACAACTGTGTGACAATTGTCAGGCAAAATAAAGGTTTATGTTATTCTAGAGTGTGTTTGCTATATCCACACCAGGACCAAGCTGAGACAAGAGCTCTGCCAGCAAGGGCTGTGATCTGAAGCTCTGCTTCACATTGAATCCCAATTTCTAGCACTTGGGAGTCTTCTCCTGGCTGCCTTTCTCAGTTGGCTCAGTTGCATCCAGCAGATGGAGACACTCCATAAATCCAGAGGTTCTGCCTGGTCGCTCAGAGGTAATGAATGAAGGTCTGGAAGGGTCAGAGATGTTTGAGCTGCCAAGTTCTCATGTGATCTCTGAAAGGTGGGTGGTTTCAGCTTCTACAATAGGTAAAGGTCTCACCTCAAGATGCTGGAGATGGCCAAGATGAGGATAGCACTGCTGGAATCTCTCCTCATGGTAAGGGGATCTCTGTGCCTGCTTGGAGAAGATGCTGCTGAGTGTCTGTTCATGGCTTACCAATGGGGAAAGGGGCAGGAAGAGCTTGGGAGAGGTGGTGAGTGTCTGATCTGGTGGGGAGGTCTCTGCTCCTTCCCTTTCTACTGTTACTGCTGCATTTCTAGGCTTGGGGGTGGAGGAGATGGAATGGACATCCCCAGCAGCTCTTGGGGTGTACAACTGCACAGCTCTTGGCATGGACATCCTCTGCAGCTCTTGGGGTGGGCATCCCATGCAGCTCTTGGGGTGGACAACATCACAGTTCTTCAGGGTGGACAACATCACAGTTTTTGGGGGTGGGCAACATCACAGCTCTTGGGATGGACATCTCCAGCAGCTCTTGGGATGGACATCCCCCACAGCTCCTGGGATGGACATCCCCCAGAGCTCCTGGGATGGACATCCCCCATAGCTCTTGGGATGGACATCTCCTGTAGCTCCTGGGATGGACATCTCTCACAGCTCTTGGGATGGACATCCCCCACAGCTCCTGGAGTGCAGATTCCCTGCAACTCTTGGGGTTGAGATTCCCTTCAGCCCTTAGAGGAGCAGAACTATAGCTAAAATGGGCAAAAGACACACAACGTTGGAGATGAAGAGTATGGAATTCCCATCTGGGCAGCTTAAAAGTGCAGCACTGAATTTTGGGAGGGTCTACTGGCACCTGAGGAAAAAAATCTCACATGGTTGCTGTATTTGAGGGGAATCCTGAGCTGGATTTGGGGGGAATCCTACTCCACCTGGGCTGCAAAGTCCACGTGTTCATGTGCAACAGGAGAAAGCACAGTGCTGGCTGAAGGTAGTGAAGATGAGATTGGGTTTAGTCATCCTCAAGATTGAGTTTCTGGGCAAGGAGAGTGTTGTGGCATTTATTTATATGGGATGACTAGAGGGTGGTGTAACATTTCTGTGCTGAAGGAACAACAGAATTTGAGGGTTTTCACTTTTTTAAATCACTTTTCACATCACTTTTCCTCTATGTTAATCACAGTAAGCTCTGAAATGCTTCTTAAAGCTGTTGGCCATGAAAATCCACATTTAGTGACAACACCTGAATTTCACAGCTACTTTTACACCCTCCTCAAAAAAAAAACAAAAACAAAACAATTGTTTGCCCTTCTCATACAACAATTTCAGCTGAGAACAAAACAGTCCTCTTCCTTCTCCACTCAGCACCTGTGTCAAGGGAAATAAGTCTTTCCACCTCACCTTCCACCCCCACTTAAATCCCCTGTTAGTCATTTTGTTTGCCCTTCTCACACAACAATTTCAGCTGAGAACAAAACAGTCCTCTTCCTTCTCCACTCAGCACCTGTGTCAAGGGAAATAAGTCTTTCCACCTCACCTTCCACCCCCACTTAAATCCCCTGTTAGTCATTCCAAAACCTTTATGAAGTTCATAACCTCCAAATTCTTGTTAACTGTGATATTATCTTCTCCTTCACCTCGGTCCTTGTGTCCTAATCATCTGTGTCCCTTCTGCCCTCGTGGATTCCTTTCAATTCCTGGCACTGGTGAGGGACAGAGACAACACTGAATATGAGAGGGACATATGGGAGCAGTTGGAAGAGTTCAGGACCATCTCATGGAAAATCAGAAATGCTGCAACAAAGCCTTTAACAAATTCAGTTTTGCCTTCTCCAAATCTCAGCAGCTTGCAGGCGACAAGAGATATTTTAGGGTTTGGCTTGGATGAGACTAGAAGGGAAGGGAAAAAACAGAAGTGCCTGACTGAGCTGCTATTTCTGGACCTGTTAATAGATGCTGTTGGCTGAAACAAATCCAAACGTGGGCTGCAAACTCCCAACTGCAGAATGGCATTGCCTTGGGACTAGAACCACCCAGACAGGTCCCAATAAAAGCTGGTTTACCAATAAAAATGTATTAAATTCCTTGTGGATTAGGGAGAATAAACTATTTCACAAGGAGGAGAGGGTTGCACTGGCATGGAGGTGTCAGCTCCTGTTTTCCTCCTGTCTGAAGGCTGATGAAGCCAAGCAACGCCTTGAGCTTGATCCTTTGAGCTCTCTTGGTTAATTGCCACCTCTGCTCCAACTGAGTTTCATGCTCTACCTATTGAGAAAGCAGAAATTTCCTCACCTTACTCATGCAGAGTATATTAACAATATTTATAAGCCCAATTTAGAAGTGTAGGAAAGACTTACATCACCTCAAGATCCA